GGGACTTGTCTGCAAAATATGGCGTCATTGCAGGTTGATTTGATTGGTTTCGGCACGAGTTTTCAAAGTTGGAAGATTTGAAAGTTCATAGTTCGATTCATGGCGCGATTTATATTTTCGGTGTTGTTTGATATGATTTGAGACCTCGAGCGAGTCCGTGTTTGGTTATACAACTTGTTTGTGTGTTTAGACGGGATCCCGGGGGCCTCGGGTGTGTTCCGGGTGGCCTACGGGTCATTTTTCTCCTATTTTGAACTGTTGTTACCTGTCATCTGGTTTTCTTCTTCGCGATCGCATCTGCCCCTCCGCGTTCGCGAAGAGTAATTTTGAAGGAGGAATTAATTGTTCATCGCGTTCGCATGACCTTGTTCGCGATCGCGAAAGTCTGGTTACTCCTTCGCGTTTGCATCTTCTCTGTCCGTGTTCGCATAGTTCTTTAATTTGGTCAGCAAATTATTCCTTAAACGCGATCACATCTTCTGCTTCGCGATCGTGAAGTGTGGCTTTGGGAAGCAAATAATTCCTTCACTACGTGATCGCATAAGACCTTCCGCGATCGCGTAGCACCTTTTAGACAGTAGCCATTTTCCTTCTACGCGATCGCATCATTTTTTCCGCGATCGCGATGTACAAATACCTGGGCAGGTATAATATATTTCCAAATCGAGGGTTAGACCATTTTTATCATATCTTGACTTGTGGAGCTCGGTTTTGAGCGATTCTTTGTGGGTTTTTCAAGCAAATCGATTGGGTAAGCGTTTTTCACCTAGAATATAATATATTCCATGATTTTATCTTCGTTTTTATCATTTAATTTGTGTTTTGAGTTGAGGAAAATGGTGGTTTTTGAAGAAAGTTTTCCAAATTAAAAATCATGAGTTGAGGGACGAAATGGTATCGAAATTTGATAATTTTTGTATGGTTGAACTCGTATCGAAATGGGTATTCAGTTTTTGTAAAAGTTGTCGGGTTCCGAGGTGCGGGCTCGGGGGTCGACTTTTGGACCGATTTTTGGATTTTGTTAAAGATTGAGACTTTATAATCTGGAATAGTTTCTTATGAGTTTTATTTGTGCTTTGAAGTTATTTTGGTTAGAGTTGAGCCGTCCGGAGGTCTTTTCACTCGAGAAGTTTATTTTAGAGTATCGGTTTGTCTTCTTTGAGGTAAGTATCTTGCCTAACCTTGTGTGGGGGATTTCTCCTTAGGATTTGAGTCTTCAATGTTGATTGTAGTTAGTGAACGCGAGGTGACGAGTGCGTGCTCGGACTTATTTGTGAAAAAATTGTCCTTTTAGGGTTCTTAGGTCCTTATATTCACTGTGTATGAAATTGTTCTTGATATGACTGAGTTCCTATTTACTAGTTCACCTCTACATGCTTAAATTAGAATTAATTGCTTTAGTATTCACTCTTACTGCCAATTTGACTTAACTGAAGAGTTTACCTCTCCTACTGTCATGCTATCTCTTCATAATTGCTTATCTTTATTTGAAATTATCATCATCTCCTTCTATAGTTGTTTAGTCTTAATTGAGGTTATGATTACCTTTCCGTTGTCTATCTTTAATTGAATTGTTGAATATTCTTCGTAATTGCCCAACCTTAAAAGAAGTCTAGATATCCCATGTTTTAGTTGACTTGCCCTTATTTCGAACTATTTGACTCATGTTAGTTTTTCCTTGTTGCCGAACTGTATATTGTGGAATCGTTGTGGCATATTGTTTCCTTCATTGTTGAGTTGATCTCTTTATGCCTAGCATTCTTTACTGTGGTTATTCCTTGTGAATGAGTTCTACCGTTTCTTTGTGATTTAAATTCTTGAGTAGATTTACTTGTCGTACTTTGTATTATTGTCATTGTTGCATTTGTACTTGTTGTGGTGATGCACCAGATTTCTGTCGTGCTGTAAATGTTGTCTCAGTTGGTTGCGCTGCATATTTACTTTGGGACTAGGGAACGGTATTCCGAAAGATCCCCTTGTACTGCATATTTACTTTGGGACTACGGAACGGTATTCTGGTAGATCCCCCTGTACTGCATATTTACTTTGGGACTACGAAATGGTATTTCGGGATATCACCCAGCACTGCATATTTACTTTGGGACTACAGAACGGTATTTCGGGAGATCCCCCTGCACATTTACGTTTGGGACTACGGGACGATATCCTGGGAGATCTCCTGTTGTTATATCTGTGTTCTGTGCTGCTAATCTTCTATGCTTACATTCTTTTAAACATTCTACGTGATGTCCGTTCTTTTCCTTATACTTACTAGCTGGTACGAACTATATTAGGACACTTGCACAAGCATACACGTAGCTAAGCACCCTTATCGGATAAGAGGTTTTCTTGATATTGCTGAGTATAGACACACACCCTTGTTTATTTACCTTCCATGTGAGAATGGCTCTGTTTGGCACGTGAGTCGTCAGTGCAGTTATGAGGTGTGATGAGGGTACGGGATGCCAAGTGTTAGGGTTCAGGTATTGAGACCCGCATTGTTTAATTATGAGATGAGGTGTCACATGGTGACTTATATTCGAAGGATATTTATTTGAAAAGATTATATTCGAAAGGTATTTACTTTGAAAGCACTATGTTTGAAAGATATTTATTTGAAGGAAGTATATTTCGAAATATCTTTACTGGGGAGGACTATTCTAAAGAATTCTATTCTAAAACTTATGGGTGAAAGATTTATACTTGAAGGATTTGACTAATTGATTGGAGTTTGTTCGCTAAGACCTGATGTGAAAACTGCCGTAGTAGCTGAGGTATTACTTGTCTGTATTGCATTTGTGATTTCGGATTTGGATTGTGTTTCCATTCACTCTTCTGTGTCCTTATTATGGTGTTCCGTTGTGACTTGTTGTTTCCTTCCTTATTGCAATTACTGTATTGTTAGCCATATCGCGTAGTCTTTATGTAGAAATCATGCATTGTTGTCCCTATACTTATGCTTGTTCAATTTATTAGAACAGTAGGTATCTTGATTGTTCCTCATCACTGCTCCACCGAGGTTAGTATTGATTCTTACTGGGCACCGCTGTGGTGTGCTTATTCAACACTTCTGTATATTTTTGTGCAGATCTAGGTATTGGATCGCTAGTAGCTGTGCAGACCGTTGCTGTGGAGACTCAAGGTAAACCTGCTGCTGCGTTCGCAGGCTTCGGAGTCACCTTCTTATTTTATATTTACATTGTTCACTCTTATTTTGAGACAGTTGTATTTTAGAAGTTGTAGCGAACTTTGTAGAGCTTATGACTTGTACCGTCGATTTTGGGAAATGTAAATTTTGTGGAGATTTCCCTTTCAAATTGTTAGATGTTCTTCTATTATTGTTGCTATTCTGAAAATGTTAGGCTTACCTAATCCGTAACACTAGGTGCCATCACGATACCCAACGGAGGGGAAATTTGGGTCGTGACAAACGCGTTGGGCGTCACGTCCTCGCCTACTGTTTTGCAACTTTCGTTGATAACATTCATGAGGTTAATAGGGAAATCACTTGTTATTTCTTTCCTTTCTCCTTGGTTACCTACCATGTAGAGTTTTGTACGCACAAAGAAAGGAGGTCTCGGGGTTTTTGATGTTGGTGACTTGCGTTAATCGTAGTTCTAGAGGAAATTAAAATTTTAACTAAGAAATTCCCACAGATGGCACCAAATTGTTTGACCAAAAAATATAGATCCTGGTCCAACTAATTAAATTTATATAAATGAGGGTTAATCAGTTAACAATAATATCCCAAAGATGAAGTTTTCAGAAGTGCAATAAATACTATGTAGGAATATTTTAATGGCAACAGCAGCACTCAACAATATTTAAGAAGTCAAAGGAAATAATGTAGCATTAATATTGATGAACAACAATAAATGGCATTCAAGTAAATAGAATGAATGAGTCACCCAAGAAAGGATGGAACCAGTGAGTCTTCTTTTTGACAATGATGAATGGGGATATCCTTTGAATATCTGAGTTATTCTCGGATCCAGTGGAAAAGTGTCGACAAGGTTAGTGTAAATATGATGTTTATATGCTTGCAATAAGATCTAATTCTCTCTCTAGAGTCAAAATGTATTTTAGAAATGAAAATCACATGTCCCCTATCATTGTGTCTCTTTCTATCTATAGGGCATGTTCCTAAAAACCCTAATAGTACAAGTGCAGAGAATATATCCACTAGAATATTCTCTATTATGTCCTTTTTTGAAACTAGCCGTTGTAACTCTGTCGAGGATATTCGACCTCGGCCTCGATCCTTGATGACTCTTCGACCTTAGCCCTTGCTGACTCTTCGACCACAGCCTTTGTTGTTAATTAGATTACTTCAACACGCGGCGTCCCAGAAATATTTTACTAATACCATTTCGACTAAAGATGGATTTTGACCATACATGACTGGTAAATCTTGGCCGTTATTTTCCTGAAACTTTTAACAAGGACTTCATAAGTCCTCGTGAAATACAACTGAGATTTACCAACTTCATTAAACCATTACAGTCCGCATTTAGAATATATTCTATACTGCTCTTGATATACGTAGTAAAAAGTCATTTAAGTGACTATTTCCTATTTAATTTGTGTAATTGTCAATTCAAGTGAATTTTCTAGATACCATGTTTACTCATTGTTCTTAAAATAGCAGTGGCAAATGCATATCTGAATAATAAATCATCACTCGGGTGATACCAGTATTGTCTTCAAATAGGGGATACTAACTTTCATATCAGAATTCTGGCCTGGGGGCGGGTTGTATCTCTGAAGGCGGGGGTCGTGCTACCTACGTGGTCCGTCGAGGGTTCAATTGAATCATCATCGTTCAGCCATAGTGGCAAAGCTATCTCAGAAATGTATTGGATCGCCTAGTTATAGAATTCCTGGCTCCGCCACTGTGTGAAGGGTGAGTTGTTGGAAAAGTAAAAGATAAGCATTCACATAAAGAATCTGACTAGTGTAATCCATTTGAGTTGTAGCTTTTTTTGCCTTGTCCTGATTCTTGATTACAAAGATTTTCTTTACAAGTTTACCAGTACAAACTAGTCCCAAAAATTAAGCAACCAGGATCTCTAATCTAACTTTGGATTTCAACAAGTTGACGAGTGCTTTGGAGAACATCCGCAGCGCCATACGTAGCTACAATGTGCTAGTCTTGTTGGAGATTGTTTGCGCTGCAAAGAATCTACAAGTGGCTTTAAGCATTGCAAATACATATACATTCAGACCTCTCTATAACAACATCCTTATATAACAATACTTCACTATAGAAGTCAAGCTTTTCCGGAACCAATTTTCATGTTATGTTATAATATATGTTCTATATAACAGCACTTCGCTATAACATCCAAAAATATTTTGAACAAACGAGGTTGTTATAGAGAGGTTTGACTGTATAAAGAAACATGAAAGACACATTTCTATTATCACATAAGGAACTTCATTTCCTTTTTCCTGTCCTGTACAAAGGATGATTAATGGAACCGGTGGAGACTGACTCTATCAATCAAGCTAAACCTGCTTATAGTAAATTAGCCAGAAAAGATCCCTACCTAAGAAGAAAAAATAAAAGAAAGAAAAATAAAATCACCCTTTTGTTCATCCTTCCACAAAAAAGGTGTCGAGCAGCCCTAGAACACTCCGTCTTGAGCTTGCTCATATTGCTAGTCCCGCATCCGGACAAATGAGAAGGGTGCAGTAGGTTGACAATCATCATAAACTAGTCATATGATTGTTCCTCAACATAATACATTGGACGTGCTCATCTAGTCACGTGTTATATAATATATGTGTTGGACTGGGATGACCTTGAATGGAGCGACATGAATAGTGGTGATTCATGTAGCTGACTCCAACTTACTTAGGATTGAGGCATCGTTATTGTTGTTGTCTTCACCCGTATGTCATGAATGAGCATATGCACGCACAACATCCATTATTGGATCTCGGCATATTGGACATTTTCCTGTACCCCTAAGCAATTCATGTGCACACTTGAAACAGGTGCACATATGCCCACATCTGAAAACCATGAACAAAGTTATAGACAATGATCAGTATTATATATTGATTTCTAATATACTTGTCCTTCCCTAATGAACGTGGTTAAACTGATATCCATAAACAAGTACCTGTAAAGAAGAGAATCAACAGGCTCCTCACAGCAAATACAACAATTTCCTTTGTTTGGAACCTTGTTATCTGAATTCCCCTTGTTCTTTTGACCTGCATTACAAAAATGTAAGTCTCTTCTTTAATTAATCAAAGCACAAATGGAAAATAGAAAAGGGAGGGAAAAGGTCACATGTATCTAGTTGATATGTAAACCCAAATTTTGTGTAGGGCAAGGCGGTACACAAGGAATCTCGCTTTCATGCTGTCAGGGGAAGGGTCGTACCCCTAGGGGTATAATGTAGACAGTCTACCCTAATGCAAACATTAGTGGCTGTTTTGATGGCTCGAACCCGTGACATATAGGTCACACGGAGACAACTTTACCATTGCTCCAAGACTCCCCTTCTATTAACTAATATACATAGAATAAGAAATCCATGATATGATGCAGCATATAGTTCAGGAAGTTAAACTTCAGGGATTTTGGTATTTTTCATAGTCAGATCTTTGTGTTCCAGCTCACCTAACTGGCCAATTGCAGCTGTAACGTCCTGCTTAATCGAACGTTGTAATTTCATTTGCATGTTCATGCAACTCTTCATAGATCTCCGTATTTCAAAAATCTCTTGATGGAGTTTCTCCATATGTCCTCTCAATTCATAAATGAGTTCCATTTCCTGTGAATGCACATGTCATTAGTTCTAATCCCAACTTAAAAATAATATCAGGCAAGTTAGCCCAAGGATAGACAACTCACAGTTGAAGAATTTCTTGAAGAAGAAGAGCACGGTTTAATGCGTTGGGAGCAAATACTAGATGATTGAGATTGTAGTGAAGAAGGAGATGGGAAGTGGTAAGAGTCATCAGTTACTTCCTGGACTTGATTTAGGCTCCATGATGATGTGTTGTCATCAATTAATACTTCATCTTCATCGTCATAACCTGAGTCTTGTTCTTCTTCTACCTCAACATCCTCTTTTCTTGCATTATGTCGTAATACCACGTCCTCTTCCTCTTCTTCATCCACTTGTGTTGGTAATTCTTCTTCCTCATCATGGCTGATTCTCATTGCATTTGGTAGTTGTTGTGAGCGAGACGCCATTATTCGATCTATTTTTTCCCTCAAACCACTGGTAAGAAAATTCGAAACACTTTTTCTGCACAGATAAGAAAATCAAAGTCAAAAGTGCAAGTCGTGGACTATGCTTCAAATTGAAAAGCTGAATAATGAATATCATAGGAGAGGGAGATAGATCCATAGGCAAGGACTGTTTATTAAAATGTTGCATTTTTGAGAAATATATGTTTTTATCCGCTCCAAAAAATAATAGCCAACAAAATGTATATATGTATATTATATACATATAATATACTTATTTTATACACCTTCTGGCCATCGGATGTAAATTAGTTTTGGCCGACCGGCCAGTTTTGCATTTTGCCCTTTTTTTCAAGCTTATAGAAATATATGTAGTTTATTCACATATATGATCAGACGAGTCTTTTACAGTCGCCATGTTAATGGGCAAGGCAAAGTATATTTTTCGAACAAGGATGATTACCAAGTAAAACTTCATCACAAATGTGCAGAAAATGATGACAAATTTATAGGATTAGTATAACTATTGAAGTGGAGGAGTTGCTATTTACCTGTGAAGAAGTTGCTGTATGTCATGATTTTCTATGAATCGATCAAGCATCTCTTGGTATCTTTCGTGCCTGAGGCCTTCCCATTCTCTACGTGGACGAGAGACATTGCTTATCCAGTCTTCATTGCCTTCTACTTGCTGCTGATAAGCAGACTGTATTTCATCCCATCCACTAGCTGTGTGGGAGTAATCACTTACCCAACCACTGTCGCTTTCAACTAGGTGTTGGCTCGTGGTTTCCTCTTCCCAGTCGCTTTGAGGATTAGCGCTCAGTAAGCTGATGCTAACTTCTCGTTTGTTAAGGTCCATATCATGTTGATTCAATCCACAAGAAAATACTGAGTTTGTAGCACTAAACGCCATCTCTTTCCGGGGTTTGGATGAGTTGGTAACGTGTATCCTGGTTTCTATCTTTTTGGGGCTTGTTTGCTTGGATAGCTGATTCTCCTCGCGTGGTTGATTGGATGAACAAAAATTTCCAACTTTTAGGATGTTATCTACCACCTCTTTAGTTGTATCTCCTAATGTTATAGGGATACTTCTTGAGTTAGCTACACCGGGCTGCAGTCCTGAACTCTCCTTAACCAGCCCCTTGCGCGGATACTCTTCTCTCTGTTGATGTGTTGAAAATCCACTTCTTTCTTTCGCGGAGTTGCTACGACCCAGTTCACCACCACTTTCTACCACTTCCCTTGAGTTGTTTCTTGAGTCAGCAAGACGATGTTGTCCTACTGTATTGAACTTTTCCCTGAAATGAATTAACATTATGGTTAGGTGGATATTGTATGAAATAGCAATATACATCACAACTAGGGGTGTTCATAAAAATCCAAAAACCCGAACCAAACCAAACCGATCAAAAAAACCGATACTTTTTGGTTTGGTTTGGTTTTGGTTTTAATCAAAAAAAACCGAACCAACCCGAATATAAGAGTAGCTATTTTAAATTTATAATTACACCTATATATATGTAAACTTTTATACAAAGTTTCAAAAAATTTATAGTAAATGTTAATCGTTTGCACTTTTAGTACATTTCTTTACCTTTACATTCTAGTTTGATTGTTAGTTTTCTTTTGTTAAGTGTAAGAATCTATTTCATGTTAAAAACAATATATTTTTAATTCAGTCCTTAAATTATTCACCACTATTTGATTCAATTACCATCAATATATCTTGGTAAATAATAGATTTCTCAAAGGGCAATTGATTTGATAGTGTTACGTTGAAAATGTGGTCGCCGAAATATAAGTTTGGTAGTGTATGTCTTATATTTAAGAAAAAACCGACAAATAACCGAAAAAACCGAAAAACCGACATAAACCGAATCGAGAAAAAACCGGCTTAATTGGTTTGGTTTGGTTCTAATATTTGGAAAACCGACTTACTTGGTTTGGTTTCTTTTTAGGGAAAAACCGATCCAAACCGAACCATGAACACCCCTAATCAGAACTTTGTTACTAACAAAAGAATAACATAGTTCTTTCAACTGACACAACTAATAACGAATATGCTGCGATTAGTTATACTAGCATTAGTTATGATGTGATTAGTTATCTTGGTATTATTTCTTACTGACTGTTTGGTTATCAATCTTGGGATTGTCAATTTTACTGTTATATCCTGCGATAACTGGATTACTATTCCACCTTCTGGCAGGTATAAGTTATCCCGGTACTATTTTTAATCCTCAGTAACCAAACAAAGGACAAGGTGGTACTAAATTTTTATCCCAGAATTATTTTTACTTATCCATCGTACCAAACGACCCCTTAATAGTAATGAAAAAGGAAACAAGCTTAATAAAGAAGCTGATATGCAGATCTAGACACAAATACTTGTTATAATTTCTTTACAACTTTGATACATTCTTTGGGGAAAAAAGACAGGTCTTTTAGCAGCCACAAATGGAAGTAAAAGAGTCAAAAAAACAAAAATTGAAGTACTTCACCTGAGATGCATAATTGCAGAATGTGTCAGTCTATTTGATTCAGACGCTGAGCAATTCACTGATCGGTCATCTCTGACTTCTGCACCACGTCGTATGAGTCTAACTCGAAGCAAAGCCTAGTTAAGATGTTGAGTTATAAAGATTAATCAGTACCCTCAAATAGTAAGTCCTGCAAACTTGTACAATACAATAAGAAATAGCAATCCGAAAACACTGTAAATATAATAGTACAATACAATACAATGCAATGCACCTGAATGCGGCCTCTTTGTTGGAACTTAGAAACTGCTTTACGTTCCACAAGACTTTGAATTTCCCTATGTCTATCGCGCTCCATTTGCAATAGCAAATCACTAAACGCCTGTCGCCCTCTGATGAAACGAGGCGAATTCACAACAGGTGAAAAACAACACCTTTGTTGTTGTTCTGAACCATCCAATGTTGTCCTAACTCGAGGCAACGATCCACCATTCACAACAACATTACCATTATAGTCGCGTGCCTGACCTTCATCGCCATTACTATACGTCAATTTCTTGATAATATCTGAAACTTTCAACCTCTCACTTTCTGTAATATCAGAATCTTTAGTACCCTGAACAGAATTTGAATCAATGTTGTCGGTTTTTTCGGATTCCCAACCACCAAATGAATCATTTTTCACAATGCAAGATTCATCACTTTCATCAAATCCTTTATGTGGGGACTCCAAAAACATAGAATTTTCAGAATTATTTGCAAAATCTTTCCATTTTCTCACAAGGGAAGAAACACCTCCAAGATTTGGAACATCAACACAACTTTCTTTATTCTTCTCTTTGTCCATTGAAAATACCATATTTCTAGCTTTATCCCATTTTTCAGCAGCTTTACTTCTCTTCTTTGGACTATTATTCTCATTCTTGTCACATGTTGTTTTGTGTACAAATAAATCTGCATGGTTTTGGACCAAATTCTTGAAATTTTCTTGAAAAGAATTTGAATCTCTAGCAATAATTCTATTAAGGACATAACCAAATGGAGAAGAGGAGGCAATTTCTACTTGAGAAGAGGCCATTTTCTTCTTCTTCTAATCCTCTCTTCTTCACCAATCAAGAATATTAAAAGTACTAAATTTTTTACTATCATTCTAATTTAATAAAGGTGAAAAAAAAAACTTTGAACATTTCAATGTTTCTTCAAGCAAAAAATTTTAAGACAAGAAGAGAAGAACATGTAACATGAAAATAGGTAACAAAGGTTGAAAATGGAGTAACTGAAAATAATTAACAACAAGAATAAAAATAGCATAAGTTGTTAGGAATATCAACGGTAAAAACATTCATTAACAATAATAGGAGTAACAAATTATTTTTGCTTCTCTCTCTTACTATTGATTTATTTTTTGGTCTCATCTAATGAGTCAGTCAAATGTGGAAATTTTGCCTAAAAATTTGGTACGTATTTAAGGTAAAGAGAACTGTTATTATGGAGGGAATTTGAAACCTCAACCGCTCAATTATAGCACAAACGCATATTTCGCCTGTATTTAAACACCTTACCTTACCATATTTATTATGGAGTGCAATGTTTGTTTCTCTTTCATCTTGTACGTCAAATTTTTTTGAAATGGGAGAAGTTGATAATACTAGAATTTTCAATATGGAAATAAAAAGGGAAAGAGAGAGAATATTAGAAGATCAAAAATATTATATCAAGCAAATGGGGCATGACAAGCAGTGGCGTATGCAGAAATTTTCCTTCAAAGAAATGATTAAGTAAATAGATTACTGTAACGACAAGCGATGTCATTTTTTATATTTATAACTCAATATTTTAATTTTATTTATTATATATACATACAGATTACAAAAAAAAATTCGACGAAGCAATGTCACGTGACACCACTTTATGCAAGGTGCCTACGCCCCTGATGACAAGGCCACCCAAGATGTCGCCGAACGGACAATGAAGTGAATAAAAATTTGAGGGAAAGAAATCATTAGGATTCGTTTACTTAAATTTTAACGGACATAGTTGCTCGATACATATATTTTGGTAAGAATTAGCAAGTATTTAATTTGATAGAGTATTAGTTTGAAGTGCATAAAATGGCTCGAATTACTATTGTTGTGAAAAATAGAAAGAAAAAAAAAATAGGGTATGAGTAGGTGGGGTTATGTGGTTGGGGATGAAAACGTGTCTGTAAGTCAAGATATGAAAATGTTGAGCAAGCAAACAAGTAGTGGAAGCTTCGTAGAGAAAAGTACCTTAAAGGAAAAAACAGATGACTAGGAGGTAATTTATGTGATGCTTGATATAACAGTTTCAGAGAGTAATAATGGTAGTAACAATGTATTGTACACTCTTTAGGGTGGCCGAGTTGGTGGAGCAAAGAACTGCCTAAACGTGAGATATAGGGTTTGGAATCCACTTGCATACACCGTACACCGTCGAGTTCATCGCATTAGGCACGGGCGCAAACCGTGAAAAAATATTAAATATTTATAATAATATTCTGTAAAAATGAAGTAATGATACCGCTTCCTAGCAAAGAGTAATTCTTGATCTATTGGTCAGGCTTGTATTTGGGCTTGTAAATGTTGTAGGGTCGAGTTTGGACTTAGATATTCTATTTTTTTGAACATCTTTGATGGAGCATTTTTGTTAGCAATAATTTGAGGCTACGGAGAATTAAACCTACACCTCCTTTTGCAATAATATTCAACTAAATCATTGTAAGACTTTCAACTTATGAAAAAAATAATATTAAATAATACTTATTTATTTTCTTATTTATGTAAATACGACACCGCTTACAAAAGTTTTGCATGGGCCCTTGTATTGCACGAGGCTTATCTAATGCGATTTAGTATTTACCTTTCTGTATAATTTGCAGACTATTAAACAAAAGCGGGGTTTACCTTATACACACTCAAAGGATCGCGACAGCAGGTTCTCTTGTTAACCGAAAACAATGTATTGTACAAAAAGGGGGGAAGTTGAATGATTAGTAAAGCAAAGATAGACGTTGTGTTTGAGCAATTAGGAGAAATAAAAGGTCACTAATGATCACTCCCCTGGAAAATGAGAAGAAATTTGGCTTCACCATTTGAATTAATTCTCCGGTAAAATAGAAAATCTTATTTTAGTTACGTCCTCATATTACTAAACACCAATTACCAATGTAATTTTTTTTTCTTGTTTTCATTGGCATCTCTTGTCTTTTGGAAGAGCAACTATGCTCAACTTCGTTGTTATTTAATTTAATTTAATTAAGTCCATTTCATTGTAATACTAGATTTTGTTTTATGAATAAAGGAAAAGAATACTGTAACTAAACCCCCCTTTAGTATTTTCAAAAAGAAAGACTATTCCTCTTAATATAGGGACGTTACGAATTTATTAGGTCATAAAGAGAAATATTAAGTGTCGAGTCGAGCCTAAGTTGTAGTAGGAAATTTTGTTAATGTTGCACAGTTGTAGCATTAAAATGCAGAAGTTGTGGGCTACTCTTTAAAATCAGTTGTTAATACTAAGTGCTGGCCTACAATGCCTTTTAAATCCACAAAATTCAAAATGGTCAAAGATGGCACTATAACAATCTAATAATATAGTACAGTCAAACCTCTCTATAACAACCTCGTTTGTTCCGAATATTTTTGAATATTATAGCGAAGTGCTGTTATAGAAAACATATATTATAACATAACATAAAAATTGGTTCCGAAAAAACTTGGCTTTTATAGTGAGGCAGGCCCTGGGGTCTACATATTTCAAGTTGAGTAGGACTAAGACAGAATATGTGGAATGTAAGTTCAGCGACGTGACGGGGGAAGAGGATGTGGAAGTCAGGCTTGACTCACAGGTCATCCTCAAGAGAGAAAGTTTTAAGTACTTAGGCTCAATTATCCAGGGAGATGGGGAGATCGACTGTGACGACCCAAAGGGTCATCACCTACTTCCTCATCCATTCCGTGCTTTCGAGGCCTTAAAACCTCTTTTTTTTTTACTTGCCTCGATTTGCGTGCGCAGTCCGGGCGAGTAGCCGGAAAGCTTTTATGTTGAAATATGTGAATTCCGTGAAAAATTTGAAGAATTTTGATATTAATATGATTATAGTTGACTTTGGTCAACATTTTTGGTAAACGGACCCGGACCCGAGATTGGACGGTCCCGGAAGGTCCATAGAAAAATATGGGACTCGGGCATGTTCCCGGAATCGAATTCCGAGGTCTAGAGCCCGAGATATGAATTTTTCCGTGAAATTGTTTTTCTGAAATTTTTAAGGAAAATGGAAATGAAAATTTATTAAAAGACTATGGTATCGGGCTCGTATTTTGGTTCCGACGCCCGGTACAAGTCTTAAATATGTGGTAAGCACTTTCTGTGAAGTTTGGTCGAAATCGGACGTCATTTGACGTGTTTCGGACCTAAATATCTAAAGTTTGAAGTTTATGAAGTTATAATGAAAAA